GATATTCGGTATTTTGACAATTAAGATCACATTTTCTGAAAGAATTGTTTGTTTACTTAGAATTTGTAACAGGTTCCAGCTTCTGTATAGGCCCCTGTTTTTTATAGACCCAATATAACGGCAACTCCCGATATTCGGTATTTTAAAATTCGAATTATAGATTTAATAATGGGTTCCACCTCTTGTGGCAGTACATTGTCTACATAGGTCCACGTTGTCCTATAACCCACACGTTTCGGTATACGGATGATTTTAGCCACATTGTTCAGGGGAATCGTTAAAAATTCGGTACATAGAGTTTTTAATGGATTCTCATTAGGTCTTTTATCACTCATAAGGCGGTACCTCCGAATATTTAGCATTTTGGTGATTTTAGCAACTTTTTTTAAAACATTTTTTCTATGGAATTTGAAACTCGAAACCCGTTACCATCGACTTTTTATGGATATACAACCCCGATTCTTTTATTTTTTTAATGTTTCGCTTTTACCTCATGATGAAGGGTATTAGAAGGTGGGCTTCGCCGAACTTAACCCTTTTTTACTTCTTATTTTCACTTACTGAATCTATTTTAGAACCACATTTAGTTTATTGATGGAAATATGAATGCAGCTGAATTGTCACAAAAATTCGAATATAGTGCAGAATTTCATACTTTTATCATATTCATCATTATACCCTCCACCTTGGAAAGGAGGGTATATTAACTTTGTAATTCCGTTTGTAATATCCCTAAATATTCCTCGCAGACCCCATAGAGTATATATATTCATAATCATCATAAAATTCTAAGTCGGTTTAATGTCTGTTAAAATCACGATACAGCCCACATTATTCGACGTAGAGATTCAAAATATGGCCCGGCCGAACTTATTGCATTTTCACTTATTCTATTATATATTTGTACTTTTAATTTCCCTTTAGAAGAAAAAAAACTTCCGTGTTTATTAGTCCAGCTTTTTATTATCGCTAACAACTGTGACCCGCATTCCAAACATCAATACCATGACTGCAATTACTACCTTTAATATCCTTTTATTTCAAATTGCCAAATAAATGCCGTCATCCCCAACACAGAATCCCACGTGACAAATTTGAAGGTTTTATCTTCAGCGATTTGTTGTTGTTGTTTCAATTTCTTTTAATTTCATTAATAGTACGTTTATATATATGAGGGTTAACCCACTGGATTTGGATTTAAATTGTCATATCCATTACTTTTACTTCAAATAAATCCTCTCAAAGAAGGTTAACCCTACAAAAAGTTCTAACGTAAACATGGCATAAGCTCCATTTTATTTATAAAATTTATATTTTACCTAAGTTTTAATTTTTCTTCTATATATGAACATAGCATTTCAAAATAATTAAACTATTTCACATTTCAAATCCAAAAACGAAATTATCGTTGCGGTATCTCTATTTTGGTATTAGTTGTACTGTACACCAAAAACCATTCGGTTGGATGTTTGAAATATGTTGCATGTCGAACATCTGCACATGCAACAAGTAATGTAAACAAAACAACAAATGTTTGATGAAATATGTCGATAGAAGTAATGCAAAGTTTGCGACTTTCAGAATTTCAAGGGGTCTATTGGAGGTTAAAATTCCACACATTCCTTCACATCAGGTCAAAAACGTAAATAACATTAAGTGTCAAAGGAGGATAACAATAAAACCTTTAATATTAGGAGGGTTCGTTTACTCGATTATTTTTTTCTTTACCCACAAACCCAGTAATTGACAACGAAATGAGAGAGATATTTTGATATTTGCGTTACTTAGAGTTTCCAAATTCTTACTGGGAACATTTTACAAGTTATAATTATCCAGTAACGTCAGCTGTTCAATCCAATCTATTTTTTGTAGAGAAACATTTTTTAAATTATTAACCACATAGTATTACGTAAACGTAGGTACAGATGAAAAAAAATAATTCAAGAGCTATTTTGTTTAATTAGGTGTCATATCCAGCTAAAATAAAAAGTATCAGTCGGGTTTGCCGACAGATGTACACCCCCAGCCAATGTTTGAATATTTAAAAATATCTTGACTTCTGTTTTGATAATTCAAGTTGTTGACTCTCTATAAAGTAAGTTCCCAAGGAATGGGTCAATATTGTCCATTTCATATTGGACCCATGGTACAATGATATCAAGGTAGGGCTATGATACCATATGATTTCAATTTTTTTTTATTTTCTTGGCTTAATATGTCATCTTTATTTGTTTATGTATGTGTTTTCTTTTCAATAACAAAAAAATTGTTCAGAAAACATTCAAATTCGGATGTTTTCAAAATGTTTATTTCATCGTATGCATCGACAAAATCTAGAGTTTTTGTAGCGAAATAATCCTTTAGAGATATATAGAAACTGGTTTTGAAAAGAAGTGTTGACCTTTCATTCAGTTTTCGCGGTTTTCAATTATTTATTCAAAATAAATGCAACAAGTTGTTTGATTTTGTTATTATTTTGATACTATTTCTGACATTACAAGCCAAACAGGTAGACCTCTATACTTGCAATTTTTTCAAAGTTGACCTACCTTCTCTTCATTGTACCATGGTTGGACCTAAATAAATATGATAGAAATATTGCGACGTGCCATATTTGAACTATATTGATTGTTTTCTTCACTTTATATGAGATATGTGATATTTTATAGAAAATCTTAAAATGTGAGTGAGGTATATTCGACCAAAGTGTGTATACCCTCTCTCGCCATATGGCTGAGTGTAAAATCAGGGTTATAAAGACTGTACAAAACGCTGAACATACATTGAATTTTTTTTTAAATAGCGTTTCCACACAATAAGAACTGAAAATGGAAAACATGACCAGAACGTAAAAAAATACTTGAAATCGGAGCTATACTTATAAGGGGGCTACACCAAAAATAGGACCTATGTGACCCATTTTCTTTACCAAATTTCTGGATGTAATCCAAAGAGCTCTATCCTAAATGTTGCGAAAAAATGTATCAAAATATAAGAGTGCCTTTGTATATAGCCAAAACTACTTTAAGGGCATAACAAAGATTGGCCTAAGAACCCGAAACTCCTTTGGGGCTTTGATCTACAAACGTTTCATCTAATCCTTTGGGATTTTCCACAATTTAGACAGTGCAATTGCTATAAAATTTGCATCGAATTGGGTAATAAACTTAATAAACAAGCAGCTAAGTTCCGGCCGGGCTGACTCCATTCGGAAGGAACTTGTGCAATATCAACAAAAGTCCGTCGAAAAATGCCGCTCAAATGAAAACCTTTATATGGGGACTATACGAAGACGTGTTGCTGGATTATCTTCCATCGGGTAAAGTACTCAGAGGGAACACCTTGTGTAGATTTTCAGACTATTCTATTAAAAAATGCGGCTAAAATGATCAAAATACCGAATATCGGCCCATATAGAAAATTCTCTTTCAGGGGGTAAAGTACTCACGGAGAACTCCTTGTGTAGAATTTCAGACAATGTCATAGAAAAATGTGACTAAAATCATCAAAATACGAAATTGTGGACCTATATTACAATTCTCTTTCAGGTACTCAGAAGGGACTCAGTGCGTGAATTTTAAGTCAATTCCATTGAAAAATGTGGCTAAAATCATCAAAATGCCTAATATCGAGGGCACCGTTGTATAGGGGCTATACGATATCCTAAACCTATATTCACAATTCTCTTTCAGGGAGCAAAGTACTCACAGAGAACTCCTTGTGTAGAATTTCAGACAATTTCATTAAAAAATGTGGCTAATCATTAAAAATAGGGAATATCGGGAGGCACAATTATATGGAGGATATGCGATATCGTGGACCCCTATGGACAATTATTTTCCAGGGGGCAAAGTAGTCACGAGGAGCTCTTTGTGTAGAACTTCATACAATTCGATTAAAAAATGTGGTTAAAATCATCAAAATACCGAATATCGGAGGTACCGTTATATGGGGGCTACACGATATCGTAACCGATAGAGCCCATCATCGAACTTGACCTGCCTGCAGACAAAAGACATCGGTGCAAAAATTTTAACTTCTTATCTTTATTACTTTTGACTCTAGCTTGATTCCAACAGACGGGCAAATTTTACGCTGATCAAGAATATATATACTTTGTTGGGTCTAAAATTATGATTTCGATGAGTTACAAACGGAATGTCGAATTTAATATACCCTCCATACTATGTATGGTGGAGGGTAATCCTGGTATTGTTATTTTTAATAGTGCAGAAGACACGATTTATAAAAAAGCAAGGGATTCCAAAAAAAACTTAATCCAAAAACAAAGCGATTTGAACTTTCAAAACTCCTATATTCGCTTATTTTGTTTTTAGCTTTGCTTTCATAATCTGCTCGATATTTTCCCACAATTATTGAAGAAATTGAATTTTGTCGCACAATCCAATCGGTCTGTGATTTAAATAATAAAATTATATTATTCTGGATCCTTGTTGTCTATCTCTCCATTATTTATTCTCCAAGTGTATTTTTGTAGGTTTTCTGAACAAGTTAAAAAACTATATCCAAACTAAAAACTTATTCAATTTTTAAATCCCAAGGATGAATTTCCGCAATCCTATATTTTTAATTAAATCTTTGTTAGTTCAAACAATTTATCTCGTATTTTTAAATAACCAGTCATTTCATAATAACGCTCACTTTATATTAACACAGTAAATGATTGACAACACTGTTTAACATTAGACCTAGTTGAATTCAAACACAAAATGTTCGCTTCAAACCCCGACCAACTTGATGGCTGCCCGTGCAACATATCTCTCGGGCTCCATCAAATTACCGGCATTAAATTAGCGCCAACACGAACATGGTAAGGTGTAATAGGCAAATAAACGTTTGAGCTCTCTTCGTGTGCTCTCTCGCTGCCCCAATGTGTTGTGTTTGTTTCCTCTCTCTGTTTAGTGGATACCCAACTCTCAGCACCGTACACACAGAGGCGAATGACGATGACGACGACCCCAACAACAGAGCAACCTAAACAACTTTTCAATTTAAAAATTTAATTCGACGCGAGCGCACGTAAAACCGCGTGAATGCATTTTAACGAAAAGAAGAAAAAAACCAAAACAAAATAAAAAACCTTAAAGAAAAACGAGAAGTTGTGTTGTGTGTTACGTTTTCTGTCCGTTTGTTTTGTTTTTCGGTTTTTTATTCTTGAAGACAACAAATGTTGTCAACGACAGCAACAAATATCGGCCACGAATGAGAATTCATTCTGTCCTTAATTTCAATTCAATATTTCAAACAAAAAAATTTGAGAAAAAAAATTTCGTCGTTTTGTGTTGTGTATTTTTCTACCGTTTTGTTTGTTGTTGTGTGTATTTTGAATTGAAATGAGAAATAAAATAAAAATAATGAAACAAAAGTGAAATAATAGCAGCAGCAACAACAACAACGACAACAAGAACCAATAACAACGTGGGGTTTACTAATCATAATAAAATAGCAGCAGCAACAACAACAACCAGACACACATGCAGCACATCCCCATATATTTGTATGTAGGTATGTCTGTCCGTCCGTACGTCGATCAACGGTGTGTCTTGTCTTGAATGTGTTTGAATACGTAAGTTGAGTGTGCCGACTGAATATTGAGTGTGCGTGTGTCAGTCAATGTGGCGTTTGCCAGCCTCTGCCTGTAATGGAGTGTCCGCTCAAGAATCTCAGAGAGTGAGAAGTAAATAACATCCAAATGAATAGAAGAAGTAAATAATAAAAAATATTGTTTGTCTTTTCTTAGTTTTGTATGGAAAAAAATGTGAAGTAAATAAAACAAAACTAGAAAAAAAACAAAAATTAAATAAATCAACAATAACAACAACACCAATTATAACAACTTCAAGTGTAGTGTTGTGAGTATTGAATGGTTCTCGAGTTGTTAGTCTCTCAACCTCCGTTTTTGTGTTTATTTTTATATTGTGGTGGGGTTTGTTTTGTGAAGCAAAAAAATATATGAAATAAAAGGAATAAGAAACCCCCAATAAATTTGAAATTCATAAAGAATATGAAAAAAGAAAACAAACAACAAATAACTACGTATGCCACAAGGAATCTGATCCGGCATAAAAATGAAAACAACAAAACTAAGAAATTGTGCAAACCCTACAAAATTCTATGAAGTTTTGAAATGGAATTCATAGCTCCATGGATATGAAGTGTGAAAATATGAAAAAGAATTAACAGTGCAAGTGTTTGCTAATAATAGAAAAATCCACGAAGATAATTGATTTTTCAAAGAGATTAAAAAATAACCTAATAAAAATAAAAGAAAAAAAAAAAAAAAAACAATGTATTACTTATATTTGAAATAAAACTAAAACAAGTGAAAAAAAATCGAAAAACCTGGATTGTGGGGACTACTTGAAAAAAATATTTTTTAAGAACTGGACCCCAAAAATTGGATTTAAATACCTTAGGATTTTTATTGTGCCTCATCGAAAAAATGGTTACAGGCCCCACATAGGTATGTGTAGAAAAATGACGATTCAGGAAATTTAATGCTGCATGTATTCCTGTCCATTTTTCTGGCTTACTGACATGATAGGGCTCTGAGGGGGTTACCTTTTATCACATTGAGAATATTTTAAATGGGGTAGGTCCATTTGCCACATTTTGTGCAAATGTTGAAAGAAAAAAATTATAAATGAGTTATTGAAAGTCTATCTTTTGGTTTAACATCTGTCCATCTTAAGTCAGATGAAAGAAAAAAAAGTGAAAAATATTGATTAAAAACATATTGAAAAACTATGTACCAACGGGTTCTACAACCGTTGTCATAACATTATTGTGAATATTTGGAGTCTGTCTTTTGGTTTAAAATTTGTCCATCTTAAGTCAGGTCACACTCTCTCCTTAAGGTATTTTCTTTACCAGAAATTGTCTACAAATTATCAATGTTTTGAAAAGCTCCAACTGTGGCAATTGTAGGATGAATAGGTAAAGAATTCCGAAACACTTAATATTTAAAAAAAAAAACATAAATTTCGTTCCTTATATAGACTCCATATATATAACGCTCTAAAATTCTATGTCGATTAACGCGATAACGCGTCTGTGGAAATCACTCTAACTTTCGAACAAAATGACGAATGTTAATGAAATTATACTCCGGTGAATTTAAGGTCCGCAGGATTTTTGACATTAAAAAAGGGGTTTTGTAATAGCCCCCGTATAATTTTAATTTTCAACCGAATTTGCTGAAAACTGGCAGCATATATACATGTAGTTCCCAAACATGTAGGAAACATTTGCTAGTATAGGTTCAAGTTTTGGTATAGTCTTCATATAACGGTACCCCCTGATATTCGCCATTTTCACGATTTTAAGCACATTTTCACCACATTTTTATTTCTAAAATAGAATTAGGAGTTCGCAATTGGTACTACTTCCTACGAACGAAAATTGCCTATAAATACAGGTCCACGCATATAAATGCACGATAAAGGGAACGAGATAGACCCATAGTGTGTTTTAATGGTCTGCATAGAATCACATTCTGAGTCAATGTATGCATGTCCGTCCGTCCGTCCGTCTGCCAATGTATTCTTGCATTTATTACCTGATTCCGATGGAATTTTGCACAAGCTGTTTATTTGACCCAAGGACGAACCCTATTGAAATTGAAGATAATCGGTCAAAAATAAGACCGTCCGATTTATAAAATGCATTCTGCAATGGCTATATTTGGGGAAATATATTAAATACAGCTCAAAAATACCTTAGCTCCCATATATATCTTCGTCCGATTTGCTTTTTATTTGTAGTGCACCAAACGTGCAATTTTAGCCCAAATGGGATGAAATTTGGCACTTACGAACAAATTGAGTCTAGAAACAAGTATGTCTAATTTGGTGAAAATTGGTTCAGACATTGCTATCGCTCCCATATATGTCGTTCATCCGATTTGTTATTTATTTCGTCCGCAGCCGTAGTATGCACTCTGCAATAACTATATTTGGGGACATATATCAAACACAGCTCAGAAATACCTTCGACAAATGCTATCGAGATCGGTTCAGATTTGATTATAGCTCCCATCTATATCTTTATCTGATTTCAAGTTAATTGTGCACCAAATGGGTAATACAAGTTCGAATTGAAAAGACACAAATGCCTCAGCGAATTTAGAAGAAATCGAAAGATTTTCTATGAGATTTCTAAAAATATATTTGAGTTTCCAAACAAACTCGCTTCGAATTCGAAAGAAATTCCTTGCCGATCCAGAGATTAATGTAAAGTTTTAGAGAAAGTTCCAGAGTGTTTTCAGATATATTTCAGATGCTCTTAAAAAAAGTTTAGAAAATCGGTCCAAATTCTAGAAAAAATTTAGAGAAATCGTCAAATTTCTAAAAGAGTAATTAGGAACACCGGAAAAAAATATAAAATCAGGGCCCTCGGACATAAATTGTTAGCTGGGCCACATTAATCTTCTGGAATCGGAGCCTTTGTACAAACAATTCTTAGCTAGGTATAGCCATATTTTTCTACTGTTTTGTTTCAAAATCTGGTGTTTGAATCTCGCAATTGATAACACAGGATGTAGCATATCACGTTCTGATATAACGCTCATATAACGGTACCCCCATCTTGTAGAATTTTGGGGGCTTTAACTGTATTTTTTAACCGATTTCACTGGTATTTGCAGATAATGGAACTCGTTCCAGTATTGTAAGTATACCTCATGATCAAAGGTGTTAAAAATTCGATCCGACAAAATAAAACGTTTTTTTTTTAACGTCTGTGTGATTTTACCGTAAATTTTCCCAAGTTATAGCACTCATAGCAACATTTGCAAAATGGTTCCAAATGTATCAATATCTTTGAACCACTTGCTCTTGATTTGATTTACTTCAGTGAAATTCAGTTCTATAAGGGTGTGTTACGGTAATACCGGTTGATTTTAAGTACTTTGGTAAGGAATTAGCTGAAGTTTGGTGTTTAGGGGTTCACCAGTAAACGATTTTTTATAGACATATATAATAGTACCACCCAGGTATTTGAAAGACTTTGACCACATTTGCCAATAGAATCTACTATAATTTGGTATTACAAGTCAGAAGAAATACGTCAATTCAGTACATAAAAAAATTCTGAACTATCCGTCTCTTTGTATAGCCGCATCTGCGGTACCACAGATGTGGGTATTTTAGAGCCTCCCCACGATTTTACGAGTATTGCCCCATATTAAAGATTAGAGATTTGTAGCTATTAAAACATTTTTTTTCAAGAATCGGCTACATTTTTATTTTCTCATAGTGGAGCGTATCAAAATTCGAATCAGCTTTAGCTCATTTTTATACCCTCCACCATAGTATGGAGGTTATATTAAATTTGTCATTCCGTTTGTAACACCTCAAAATATACATTTTATACCTCACAAAGTATATATATTCTTGTTCAGCATAAAATTCTATGTCGATTTAGCGATGTCCGTCCGTCTGTGGAAATCACTCTAGCTTCCGAACGAATTGAAATAGATTGGTAAAATTTTACTCAAATGTGTGTTATATCTGCAGGACTTTTGATAATGAAAATGGGCCGTGTAGGTCCACTTTTTTGTGTAGCCCCCATATAACAGTACCTCCCGATATTCGGTATTTTGATGATTTTAGCGACAATATTCATAGGAAATGTTTCAAATTTGGTATTTGATGTTCGTAATAGACAGGAGATTATCTGTGCAAGTACACGTCTTCGTATAGACCCCATATAATGGTACCTCCCTATTTTCGATATATTGACGATATCCCGATATTCGGTACTTTGTTGATTTTAGCGGCATTATTCACCGGAATTGTTTCAAACTTGGTACTTTAAGTTTGTAATGGATACTGCAGCCTATGACAGAAAATTGTTTGTGCAGGTCCACGACTTCATATAGCCTCCATATAACGGTACCTCCCGATATTCGGTATTTTGATAATTTTAGCGACATTATTCACCGGAATTGTTTCAAATGTGGTATTTGAAGTTCGTAATGGATACTACAGCCTAAGACAGAAAATGGAGAAAGAAGAGAGGGTCTGTTCTATTAGTTCTTAAGACGAGTCCATGAGTTCCTAGAAATATTGAGCTATGAAGATAATTGGAATCTTGTTTCACATTTTATAAAATGTAAACCCCTTGTGGGGGAGGTACTGAAAGAAGTGGGCCAATATATTTCACTTTCCCACCTGATGTAGCAGCTATAAAAATATTGCAAAGTTTGTACAAAATTTGGTGGTTGTTTTTTTTTTTTTCTATAAAAATTTTGACTTTTGGGAGGTACTCCAAAACCTTTTTAACTTCAGTCATAGAAGTACCGGAAGGAGTGGACCGATATTGCCTATCTCCGAACTCTATCTAAATTTGATATTATGATGGGCTAAATCGGACACTCCCTTTGAGAGTTACGGGCGCCCCTAGAACGACTCCAAATGTCCTGAAACCGATTTGGTCCAAAGAGACCTAAGATGGAAAACCGTTATTTCGATGAGGCACATTTTGGCCATATCAAATGATATATACCCTCTGTATGGCTGAGGGTATGAAATATGAGACTTTTCTACGAGTTACTATTGAAAAATGTCCATATTTTTTATGCAGATTGGAACTTTCATCTCAGGCACTCCAATCTACAATGTAGTTCATTTCAACCCCACTTGGGCGTTTTTCACTTGTTTGAGATAAAAAATACGTAATTAATTTTATTCAATGTTTATTCTTCTTTTTAGAGAAACAAAACAAAAAACTTATAAAACAAAGCAAAGAAACCCATATAAACAAATAAACTAATTATCATTAAATAGAAGTCAATTGCTATCATCACAGAAACCTGAGTGAATAAAAACCAACAACAGAAAATTTCACGATAAAAATTATTAAAATATCAGATAACAGCAAAAAGTGTGCAAAAAAGATAACAGCAAAAATTTAAATAATCTGCAAAACAAAAAAAGATAAAAAACAAATTATCATAAACAGTTTAAAACAAACAAAGAATACAATTTGTGACAAATTTCAAGTAACCGTTAAACCGAATCAAACAAAGGTAGACAACAGAATAAGAAAAAACCTGAAAATATTGCCTCTAACTGCCTGCAAATACTGGCCATTAATAATGGCTACCCAAAAATCCATGATGTTGTATATCGGAGATTAAATATTGGTGGGGTTCAAGAGCAGTGCCCAAAAAACAACCGATCGACCCAGAGTGGTGGCCACCAAAAAAAAAAAAAAGATTTGTTTTTGAAAAATTAATAAAATTGATTGTTTTGAAAACACAAATGAACTAACAAGCAAGCCAGGCAATTTTAATAAATTACAAATCAAACAAAAAAACAAAATCTGGTCGTATTTTTCTGGATTTCCTACCAAACCAGCCCAAACAGCCAGCCATTTAATTAAAAAACCAGAAGAAAAAAGAAAAAAAAATAGTCAAGCGTCTACGAAATAAAGTTATTTATTGTCTAATTTCAAAACGTCGACAACAGCAACAGCGGTCCAAACCCAAAACAACAGCCTAAAAGCTTTACAAGCCATCGACGACAACAACAGCAGCCGAAATTGTTTGTAGCTTTTTTTTCAGTCTTCATCTCTTGGATACCAAACCCAAATTCTGAAAATACAAACGAAAAATAAGCGACCGAAATTCCAAACATGTCGTCTACCATGGCTGCCCCAGCTCCAACATCATCGACGTCGTCATCATCGCCGCCAACAGGGGTGACACGCACCTCGGATTGTCGTAAATTTTCACCAAATATCTTCAACAAAAGTAAATGCAGTCATTGTTTTCGTCAACGGGAAGAGCATAGCGCTGCTGCCTTGGAATGCAATCGGGTAAGTCAAAGAATGCCACATATTTTACCGATACCAACCAGCCAACCAACAGCACTCCCTTTGTGTGGTGTCAAAGTCTAAAGAGATATGTATATGTGTGTGTCTCTGATGTGGTGGAGTCCCCCACTGATTTTGTTTTAGAAATTCTAGCAGCCAAACGTAGGAGAAAAAAAAATCCCAAAAAATATTCAAATTATTTTGAAGTTTTCTTTCCCCCCTCCCCAATTTTTTTTTCTCAGCGTGGGTAGTTCAATTTCTTGAAGAAATTGTAAAGCGGACGTCTTATGGGCCAATCAATTCGTATTTTTTATTATTTATTAAATTTTCTGGCCATGTCTCTTTATTAAACAACTGTTTTATTTGACAAATTTATGAAACGTGATATGCATTTTAAATCATCATCTCCCCCGGGCCAAAATGCTAAGTGTTGTTATGGGGGAGGGGTTCGTTTTTTTGGAATTTTAAAAATCTTTTTTATATGTTTCTCGGTCAAACAGGTAGCCCGCCAAGTGTTGTGTGGTTATTAATTTTTGGGAATTAAAAATTTATTAAGTGGCCGTATTTATCATGGAACATATGAACACAATATATTTGGAATTCTTGCAGAGGAAATTCTCTGGAGACCCCCAGAAGACTTCTAGAAAATGAAATTTTAAAAATAGATTAGTTTCAAATAATTATGGGTGCCAAGGAGTTATAGGTACGATTTTAGGAGAGTGGCTTGCAAATTACCACATTTACAGTGGAAGACATAAAGACGATATACTAAAAGTCCTAGCAGAGGAAAGGTCCCTGGAGACTCCCAGAAGACTTCTAGAATAGATTAATTCCGATAGATGAGCTTGGAAAAATTACTGGTGCCAAGGAGTTATAGGTACGATTTTAGGAGATTGGGTTGCGGGTTAACCATATTTACCGTGGAAGTCATGAAGACGATATATTAAAAAAAGTCCTAGCAGTGGAAAGGTCCATGGACACCAACTTCTAGAAAAGCATAATTTCGTACAGAGTTTAAAGGAATTGCTGTTGCCAAGAATTGAGAAGATATAGGTGCGATTTCGGAAGTTTGGATTTTGACCTAGGTATTTTCTATGAGATTTCCCATAGGTCTAGAAGCAGTGAGATGTTCGAAAACTTCTAGAAAAGCATAATCTCGTACAAATTTTACAAGAATTGAGCTTTCCACAAATTTAGAAGCTTATTTTCTGTTACATCTCCCATAGGCCTAGAAGCAGTATAATGTTCTAATCTAAAGATGCAGCTGCATTGTGTGACTGAGTCACTGGTGGTGACTATAAACATATCAAATCCTCAACAGGTTCATAGACTGAGGATTTCTTACGTTTCGGAGATCCATTTAAGAATTTTAAATAAATAAACTTATTTTTGAAATTTTGAATCTTTGAAACTTTAAACATATCAAGTCCTCAACAGCTTCAAAGACTGAGGATTTCTTCCGTTTCGGAGATCCATTTAAGAATTTAAAATTATTAAACTTGTTTTCGAAATTTTAAAGCATTGAAAATAAGTTAAAAAGTATCAGTCGGTTTTGCCGACAGATGAATACCCTCAGCATAGCGTTATGTTGACCCTTTATGGGGGAGGTACTAGAAGGAGTGGGAAGGAAATCTCTTATTGAGAGATATTTATAGAAAAGCAGTGCTGATTAGTTTCTCAAGCCATTGTGACTCTTTGGTGAGGTAGGTACCAGAAGGGGTAGGTCGATATATCCCATCTTCACACCAGATATTTCATTAGTAAATATACAGGGTGAGATAAAAAAACTGCAACAAAGTCAAAGGCCATATTTTTTACATTTTTTTAAATTTTATTGAACGAAAGAGAAAGAGAGAGATAATCCGATTTTGCTCCAACTTTGCAAATCCTAATCTGTTACTCAGTGCTAAGTCAGTTGCGAAAATGGCAATATCGGTTTACACCTTCTGGTAACTTCCCCACAAAGTTGTCGAAATTTTGAACATCCATGAAGCTTATAAAATACGAAATTAAAAACTCGGACTTGGTACATCTCAATATCTTCATCAACACAAGATCTGTTATAATGATGGTAGAGATCGGAAATGTTTCTTATGTAATTTTAAAGCTATTCTAACCTCTCCGCCGCTATTTGCCATTTTCTTTATTTAAGAACTTTTTGAAACGCTAAAAATAAATGTGCAAATTATCACCATAACAATAATGATGACAACAACAATAATAGAGCTCAGCTCCCCTCCTCTGCCTCCATAATACATCCAACAAATACTCTAAATGTCTCCACATACGGCAGCTACACACAATTAGAATATTTCATTCTTTGTTTGCCAAAGCACGTTTCTTTGGCAAAGTATGAGTATCACTGCCTTTACACGGTGACATTTTTTAACCATGCAATTTTTGTTTGTTGGTAAAAGGTGTAGAGAGACAAGGATAGAAGAAAAAATGGCACGATGAGCCACCGCACAGGGTTACATGCCATTTTCTTTGCATTTCTCTTTTTGCTTCTTCCGAATTTTTTATGATTTTGACATTTCATATAGCTTCTTTATTGTAATTTTTGATGCGTTTCTTTTATTGTGATGTTTTTAGTGATTGAATTATATGAAAATTAATTGGAAGTATTAAAAAGTAAAAAAAGAAAGTTAAAATAAAAGTTAATAATGCAATATTTAACACCTCAATAACTTTTTCCATCATTTCTTCTTTAGATTCACACATTTAATTTTAAATCACTTCTTTATAAATATCTGTTACAAACAATTAGCTCTATACGAAATACTGAATAAAATAAAATGTCAGAAAAAATGCCAAGCACTATTATCGTAAAATGCCACCGTGTAAAGGCGCGAAGATTTACGCAGAAATTTTAAAAGAGAATTGATAAAAATGCCAGCTAAAAATTGCACCGTGTAAAGGCGGTGTATGAAGGAAAGAAACAAAAAGTGGCGAAAAACTAAGAAAAAACACAAAACAACAGTTTCGAGGAGTTTGTTTTCAGCGACAAAAAAAAAAAAAAACTTCCACTTAGGCGGTTAAAAATAGAATTGTTGTGCAAGTAGGAAAATATGTAGGAAATGGTTTGAAATGTATTTAAAAATAACTTGAATAGAGAACATATATATATGCATGCAGCTATGAATATAATGGAGGACAATAGCTTGAAAAGAGCAGGAAACGTGCATATACAAAAGGGGAAAGAAATTTTAGAAGTTTTATACCGAAGGCCTCCTTTAGGTCGTTAATGGAACGACAAATTTCAGTGAATGTATCCGCGATACAGAAAAAACCAATGTATATAGCAAATTTTGCTCTACCTGCTTTACTGATAACTGTCTATAAAAGACCTTTAAATGGGTTTCCATTTGCACCGAAGGCTTCCTTCGGCTTCTCTGTGAATGCATCCGCGACACAAAATAATTAATACAATAATTTTACTCTACATGTATTGCTGACAAAAAAAAAAAATTTCGAACGATTTTCTTTCTTCTAATCAGTTGTATTTGTCCGCACATTAAATAACTGTATTTTTGGCACAGTTGCATCTACAACATGTACTTTGATCTTAGCTGCACAAAAAGTATTATTATTTATTATTTGTATACCCTCCACCATACTATGGATGGTATATTAATTTTGTCGTTCCGTTTGCAACTACTCGAAATACTTATGTCCGACGCAACAAAGTGTATATATTCTTGGTCAGCCTAAAATTATTATATAATTATTATAATCAAACGAATTGAGGTAGAAGGTAACAACGGTCCCTCTCAATATTCGGTATTTTGGTGATTTTAGCAACACGAGGGACCGGAACTGTTTCAAATTTCGTATTTAAAGTTCGTAAAGGAAACTTCAACCTATGACAGAAAATGTTTTATGTAGGTCCATGTCTTCCAAAAACCCACATATAACGGTAGCTCGCATCCTCGAAATATTCATAATAGACCCTACAAAGTATATATATATTGTGGGTCAGTGTAAAATTCTAAGACGATATAGCGATGTACGTCTGCTGTAATCGCGTTATCTTTCGAAGGAATTGAGATAGAAGGCTAAAATTGTACATATATGCATAATTTACCAGTAGGCAGGTTAAGTTTGTAAAAGGTCGGTCCACGTTTTCGACCCACGTTTTCATATAGACCCCATATAACGGTACCTCCCCATGTACGGTATTTTGATGATTTTACCGACATTATATACCGAAATTATTTCAAATTTCATATTTGAAGTTCGTAATAGGTACTACAACATATGGCAAAAAAATTCGTATGCAAGTCCACGTCTTCGTATAGACCCCATATGACGGTACCTCCCGATGTTCGATATTTTCATGGTTTTTGCGACATTATTTACCGAAATTATTTCAAATTTCGTATATGAAGTTCGTAATGGGTACTACAGACAATGACACAATTTTTATATGCAGGTCCACGTCTTCGTGTAGTCCCTATATAAGGTTTTCATTTAGTGGTAGTTTTCGGATTTTTTTTTGAGTTTATTATTCCAATTCCTTTTTTTCATTGTCTTTCAAATTGTGGAGGGTATTAAAAGTTCGGCTCGGCCGAACTCGGCTGCTTTTTTACACGACATTCTTCAACGGAATTCTTTTAAATTTCGTATAATTGCGTATGGTCGTAGTAGGTACTACAGCCTATGACAAAAATTGCGCATGCAGGTCCTTGTCTTGGTATCGCCCCCATATATATTTATTTTTCGTCGATTTTTTTTATAAAGTTTTTCCTTCTAAATTGTGGAAGGTATTAAAAATTCGGCCCGGCCGAATAACACTGTGCGAAATTTTTTTCAATATTTACGGGGAAAATTCACCAGATTGTGAATGAAAGTTAAAAATAGAAAAAATATGTATTGGCGTTTTAAAGATTACACCGTAAAATTAGCTTAAAAAGGGGGGTGCAAGTTCCCACTCTTACCCCTCTTTTGGAATTTTTTGGATTAAGATTTATAACAGATCTTGTGTTGATCTAAATACTGAATGA